CAACTGCATGCTTGCCCTTTACGGGAGATGACAAAGCTCCCCTTGTGACTATCTGTCCTAAACCCTAAATAAAAAGAAGCCGCTCACCCCTGCTCAGGGAACCACTGTTTGAAAGTTATTCTCCATGATCTCCTTATTTGCTGCAAATAAAGATTATTTTGTGTGACAACCCCTGCCCACCCCCCTCCCCGGTAGTCTCTACCTGTTAACTCTAGGAGGGTTACAGACCCTGATCAAACCCTCAGGAATGGGGAAGGACACGGGTTAGGTCAAGAGAAATGGTGTGGTTATAGTCCCAAGCAGCTCCAGCTGAAGAGTCCAGAAGCTCCCAGGCAGCTGTCAATGAAAAAGGACCTGTATTACGGTTTGTACTACAGCAACCACGAGCTCCATCCGCAGACCTCTACCGCATTAACATTTTGACTCCAAATCCCTGGACTCTGAACATACTTCTCTGTCCTTTTATTCTTTCCTGGCTCCTAGATTATTAGCGTAACCTGTAGAGTTTTTTCCTTATTCTTTTTTTTTAAGGTTTTATTTATTTAATTGACAGAGAGAGAGAGACAGGGAGAGCAGGAACACAAGCAGGAGGAGTGGGAGAGGGAGAAGCAGGCTTCCCGCTGAGCAGGGAGCCCGATGCGGGGCTCCATCCCAGGACCCTGGGATCATGACCTGAGCCGAAGGCAGACGCCCCTTGCCTTATTCTTAATATGTAAATTCCCAGGCTCTATACCAACAGTCGAGAGGGAATGGCTTTCAAGCAGCACCGATTCACCCAGATACGTTAATATTTCAGCAAATACTGAAAGACAGGAAAACAAAACAAAACCTCCCAGAACCAAGAGGATTCCCCAAGGAAAGGATTGAGAACCCCTCCGGAATGGAGACATTTCCCACTTGCTGGACATTTGGGTTGTGCACTGAAAAAGCTCCTCATAAACAGGGCCCACAAGTCTGGCCAACCCTTCCCCGCTTCGCCTCTCACCAGCCCAGACCAGCTACAATACACTGCCCTGAACCGATTTCACCTGGCCTGGAGAGTTATGTAGCCGGACCAAGAAAGAAATGAGCCAGAAGGAGGCCTGAGTCATGGCCATTAAATACACATGGGCTTTCCCAAGACACACACATTCCTCTGCCCCTACACTTACTCAACATGCAGCCACATTCT